ACTTCATGAGTTTACTCACTAATATCTATTATTATGACTAACAATTATTCAGTCTGCATATATACTAACTGTCATAAAATGAGTATGTGTACCACAGAAATATAAATTGAAAAAATCAATGCCAAACTTTTTTTGTGAAAAAATAAAAGGAGGGGGACAAATCTATATGCTGCAATCAGTGTACTGAGAACCTAAAAAATATAAATCAAACGAGGAAGTTTACTCATCACACAAATGGATTATATTCCAAGCAAATTTAGGAAGTTATTGAAAAGAAGAAAAAATTAGTATAATTTAATGAAATCAATGCCACCAGTTGTGACTTGATGACTTTCTTTATTTCCGGTATACCGGTAACCATTTGATATGATGAAATACAAAAGTGAACACATAAAAAGTAACATCTATAGATTTTTAACAAAGGTTGAAAAACACTAAAGTTCTAGAACTTGATTTGAAGGAAGCTATTTACACTGATGATATGATGGAAAAGTTTTTGTCTTAATGAAATATAATTAGAAAGTGAATCTCAAATGGATTCAATCTACTGGATTACAATAAACTCTCATTGATATGAACAATAATTATAAAAAAAAGCTATAACATCAAGAAATTCATTTGTATAAAACCTGTGGGACCTTATTTGTTTTTTTTAAAGGCTGTTCAGCGAGTATACTGGGTGTTGATAAGATATATTTTTAAAAAGCAGTGCATCTATTAAGCTTTACTGGTGTTTTAATTTTTTTCTTTTCCCAATACGAGCCATATTAAGTTAATTCAATAATTGAAAGAGTAAAATAAGTTAAGAAGTTTTATACTATTTTCCCACAAGCTTCAGGTACAATTTTAAGCACATATTATTTAGTTGTGACAGAAAGTATACAAGTGTTCAATAACAGAAAAGTCTTTCTTTTTTATTTAGAGCTCAAAGCTTGAATGTTATAAAAGGTTATGTATTTAAGTTTTTGGAGGAACATAAGTACCTAAGTATCCTTGAAATAAGTTAAATCTATTCTTTTTCTAAATCTTGAATGACAAAAATGTTCGCTATTAAAAAAAAAAATCACAACATAAGTACATGGCAGCTTCTGAGTATTTAAATGCTCTCTATTTAAATGCAAGCAAAATTAAAAACCCTCAGCCATAACCTTTTCTATTTCTATGAACACAAACAATTTTTTAAATATCAGAAGGAAAATTACAAACACCAATTGACATTTTAAAAGAATGGAAAATCAGCAACGCGTATAAAGAGAAAAAACTTATACATAATTCATGTCTAAAATTACCAAGCAAAAGGTTTTAATCATAAAAGATTAATATGTCTAATGTAAATTTTTAAGTTATACATCAAAATAAAATATATGTCTAGTTACTATGGATAAAAAAAAATTTTCAAACAATTTAACTTTTTTTTCAAAAAAAAAAAAGAAAAAGGGTGGGGGGAGTTTTTTAAAGCATAAGCTTATGTAATCATGAGGGGTGAGTACAAAAAAAGTACACATGAAACACTGGGGATGGTCGGAACAAACTATATGGATGGTCCTTAAAGTCTATAGAAATAGTACGACAAAAAAACTAATAAGAGATGACTTCATTCTTCCATCATGGACAGCTAATTGAGAATAAATAAGGCTAATGCAAAAGACTTGGACAAGTTGTTTAAGACATGAGTTTGATTTTAAAAGTAACCTTAAGCACAGTAATGAAACTGCCAATATTCTTATCCACAAATTTATGGGGTTTTACACATTTGAAGAATTCAAGACTACACAATAAATATCATACTGGTTCTAAATTAGAATTAAGGGATTATTAATATGCTACACAATGAGAGGGGAAAGGGAAAACAAAATTGCTAGCATTGAGTAAATATTAAAATAGAGTTTCATGTTGTGTCAGATATGGATGGCCCTTAATTTTAAAAACATTAAGAAAAAAAAAAAAGATTTCATTAAAGATAAATTTTAAAAAATAATAAAATTCTTAATTCCTTAAGCAGGAAGTAAATAATTTTGCCTTAAAAAAAAAAAAAAAAAAAAAAAAAAAAAAATATAAATTAAAAAAAAATTTAAAAAAAAAAAAAAATTTTAATTCCTAAAAAAGGAAAAAAAAAAATTTTTCTTAAAAAAAAAAAAAAAAAAAAAAAAAAAAAAAAAGTGTTTTTGTTCCCTCCATAGAGTAACATTTCCACTCACTAGTAGCAAGTTAGATAGCTCTTACAGTCAGACATGATAGTATGATCATTCAAATTAACTCTTCTGTTACATACCAAACCCTTATTCTTTTATCACAGATCTTACCCAGCTCTTTTGTCTCACACAAATTAAATGTCCTACATAAAAGAGCAACTTAAAATTTTATTTTCATAACTGTACCTATGGACATATCATTTAGAACAGAGCTCTGCAACCTGCCAAACATATAGTAATCATTCATCAGGCTCCTTGCAGTGATGGGTTGAACATTGATGATATTCAACAAATGTTTCTTTTCTATTTCCATGTCAACATATTACTGCTATTCATCATAATTTTTCAAAAGAAATAAAACCTCATGCTTTAAGAAAGTTTCATTTAAAAAAAAATAAAACAAAATAAAACAAATTGACCATGCCAACATAATTGGGGCATTAAGGCATATTCTTGTTTAAAACAGCTACAAAATTATACAATATTTCTATGTTATTTCTATTTATGCCATAGAAAAATTATTTAAACAATTTGAAATCACTATAAATGACATTTTAAATTGTCGCTGGTATTTAAATTTCATTTCACTGAAGTTTTAAAAAATCTTATTGACACAAATGTCAAAGTAATTAATAAATATATTAAAATTGCAGAAGCTCAATTTTTCCTATAGTAAAGTAATGTGATGTTATTTACATGCTTTGTTTTCTTTGGAGCTACTCTTGAATTGCATACTTTTTCTTACCATGTTCATTGATGACACAGATATGCTGCAAGTAAAAAAAATTAATGAGCTAATTTTAGATATTTACAATGTTATCTATTTACAATGTAATAATGTAACTTGTCATTATCTTGGTTCTAAATTCACAAAACGTAACATCCAAATGTATGAAGGAAACCAAAATGAGCAGAGACATTAAGTTAGATCTAAAGCCAATTTTTTAAAAATATGTTTACATTAAACCAAGGATATTGAACGATAATCAGATTTCCAGTTATTGGTTTTGAAACTGATTGTTGATTTTCACAAAACAATGCTTAATAAATCAATTTTAAAAATCTTTTTCTAATTATTATTAATAATATTGACTTCCATTGTATAGTTATAACATAGGTAGTCACTAATTATTAAATAAATAGTGAACAAGATATGTCTAGGCTTGAAAATTAAAGTCTATGTAGCTCAATGATCAGAGCATCGACTTAATTGAGATCTCTGAAAGCCTGAGTTTTATTCTTTAATTTAAATTTATCTTTTATTGATTGTATTGTCTCTCGATAAACATATCTCTCACATTTGTCGTTCGGCATACACCGCCATCCGTCAGATCAGCTCCATCCGCCACTACCTGACAGTTAGCGCAACAAAAACTCTAGTCTGTGCTCTTGTTCTCTCTCGTCTTGACTATTGCAACTCACTTCTGTCAGGTTCACCGAAACATTTTATAGAAAAACTGCAGAAAGTTCAAAACTCTGCTGCTAGGCTTGTTCTTAAGGCAAAAAAACGTGATCACGTCACTCCACTACTCCACTCACTACATTGGCTCCCTATACAGGCACGCATTGACTACAAGCTGTCTCTTCTCTGTCACAACTTTTTCTCGGATTCCTGCCCTTCCTATCTAACTGAACTTCTTTCTGTCTATTCACCCCTTCGACAACTTCGCTCCTCCGCAGACTCGCGTATTCTGTCCGTTCCCAAGACACGCACTAAATTATATGGTGAACGATCTTTCTCTTTCTGCGCCCCCAAACAATGGAATTCTTTGCCACTACACATCCGCAATATAACAACCACACAGGCCTTCAAAACTGCACTCAAAACACATCTATTTAAACTATACTACTCTGACTGATTCTCCTCCTATAAACCGATAAACGTACATGGGTTTCCTTGTAAAAATGTCTGGTGTGGGTGGATGAATATACCTATGGTGTTGTTTTGCTTATATGTTGTTTTTATTTCATTTATGTATTTTATTTTAATATTATGATTATGCCTCTTTGCTATATATGTACAGCGCGGTGAGCCCAGCCCTAGGCCGGGGTACCGCGCTATATAAGACCACTTATTATTATTATTATTATTATTATTGTATTTGCTGAAACATCAGCATAATTGTCTTTTATATTTTATCCTGAACAAATCTTGTTCCATTATTTATTTACTGTACATGGCTTGAATGCAGTTCCTCATATATTATCCACTAATTATTAGTAATATGTGGGATCAAAATTAGCGTTTCGCTGACAGTTCTAAAATAGATAAATTTATAAATGCCGCTTCGGATTAGAAATTTACTTATTATCTCAAGCTGACCTTGATGTACTGTATGCTGATCTTGATGTACTGTATACTGGTACCGGGTATATTGTAAAAAGCAATAACATTTTTTTAAATCTGATATTAAACTTCCCTACATCAAACTTACACTTAGATCTCTGAAGTACTCATTGAAATCCAAAGCATAGCCAACTACAAACCAGTTGGGAACTTCAAAGCCAATATCTGATGAATATACAATATAAATAATGTGATGCTATTTTACCTAGAAACCCATCAAGGGAATAGGTCAGATTAATAAACAGACTAACATTCCAATAAAAAAAGTGTTAGCTCTAAACACAGAAGGGTTGAATTGTTTCTTTGTAGATTAAATAATGTATATATGGCTATATTATGATGCTATTACTATCAGCCAATAGGAAATCAATACAAAATTATTGAATGTCCTATGGCGTTCATTTTTTAGAATTATTATTTAATGATAATATGTTCAAATATGAAACCAAAACACAATTTTTGATCACCAAGCAAATTATTGCATTTATTTCCAAAAACAATCCATTTTGTTGTTTTTTTAACCCACGAACTGTCCATCGTAAATTTCTGTACTGTGCAAGCTTTTTGGGTGCCTTTGAAAAATGTGATTTTTCACATGCAAGTATATTCTTGAAATTAGACTGAGTGGCAAATCATACTGGCTATTTTTAATGCTCTTTGATACTCGCTGACTGTGACCTTGACCTTGAAGTAGCCAAGAATAAAGAAAATTTTTCTTTTCAAGTACCTCAAATTACATTTTTTTAAAGGCATATAATTATGTTTATGGATGATATCATTTTTCTTTTTCTTTCAGAAAATGCATTATTTATTTATGTTTTAGTTATTAATAGATTTTTTTAAAAAATTTCTTCTGATACCTATAATTATGTTCAAGTAACTAACAAAGCACAACATAAAACAATATAAACATTACTAAATAGCAAAAAACAGATAAAATTTAAAAAGCTGCTATATAAATATTTAATCCATAAAATCAAATACAAGAAAACATATATAGAACAACATCCAATTATTTTTTGTTGGTACAAAATCATCTGTACCATAGTTTTGAATGAGTCCTGTTGTTGCAGCAACGCCTACTCATTATAGGCCTAGGTCTAAATCGTCCAAACTTTTGCTTTCTGACCCACCAGAAAAATAATCAGAATTATCATTGCCCTCGTGTGTGATGGGAAAATCATCTTCCAAATCACTTAAGTCATTAACTAAAAAGAATTATCAAAAAGATTCCTAACTGATTTATTTTGTAAGCCAGATAGTCCAGCTATGGCCTCATCCACTTCGTGAAAATCTACAGACACAAATATCCTTGATCAAGATCGTTGTAAAAATAACTCAAAAGTTTTAAAAAAGGACACAGAAGAGCGAAAAACTGAAGTTTTTTTATTAATAAAAGGATTAAAAGGAAGTAGTTTTATTTGGTGTAAAATATTGGACTGGAACTTATTCTTTCATTGAAAGTTTTAACACAATTTTTGTTGGCCGACACAGTTTGGGAAGAGAAAATCGGCCGATGACAGTTCGTGGGTTAAAAGGAATTCTAACTAACAATTAATATTTTTCTAGTTTAGATAAATAAAAACTTACAATCTGGTGCGTAACCAACATTATCTTTAGTTCTTTTAACCAATAAGCTGTAAAAATACATAAAAAATGCGGATAAATATTGGCAAGCGGTATTATGTCAGGGACTGTCATTTTTTAAAGCAATAAAGTTTGATCATTTAAGTTTGGGAAAGGGGAAAGAGGTTTTATTCTATTATTTTAAATTAACATCTTACCTGGCAACTTTAACAGATTTTGGAGCAACGGAATCTAGTAGAACTAAAAGCTGTTTCATTGTTCTGCCAGTGTCAATGATGTCTTCTACAACAAGCACATTCTAAATCAAATACATTTTTATTTATTCCAACTATAATTTAACAAAAGATTTAAGAAAAATTGGTTTATTTTTTTAACTTGATTAAAGTCTGACAGTGTGGTACAAAATAGTATTCCAACTAGGATTTATTAGACTCAAAAACTTTAAACATGTGACCAAATTATTAGCTATTCATCAAAAGGTAGAGCGGTAATAAATATTTTTCTTAAATTAGAAATTGTTTAATTGATTACCTTTCCTTTTAAATTCTCTAAGTTGTCTCCCCCAATAACTTCAATCGAACCTGATGAGGAATCATTCTGGAAAAAATTAAACACATTTTAAAGTTTAAAAATTAAACTTACAGTATGTCATTGTTTAAATTAAATATAACCTTGAAGAAGTATTTAACAAACTAAATGTCAGTAGTGTTATTATCAGTCTTAAACCAGTGTTCTGCAAAGGCATGTTAGCTGCAAAGTTATCTTTGATTTATTTCATATAAAGCATCTTAACTGACAGGAATATAATTTTGTTTGGACTTAAACTGTCAGCATTTTTTTCAAAACTTTAATGCTATGTCACACAATTTGATTAATTAGCTTTAAAATGTTTGAAAAAGGATGTTATATGTAGAAAATTACGATTTCACAATTATTGATAAAGCAGCCTTTGACAATTCCACAGCTTAATAATTCTTACGGTAATTAACTTTCATTACTCTATCACTAATACTATCACTTCTGTACCCACAAAAGTTCATAAAAATGAGATGTAAACAAAGCCAAGGAGTGAAGGTAATGATGCATGTACTACAGATATTGGTAGAGGATTGAGAGAAAGATTTATAGTATCAAAAAATAATGAAAATATTTTTGTATCAATTTAAAGAGCAATATGCAAACATATAATAAATAAATATTAATATTTATTTACACCCAAAAAGTAAATTAAAAAATTATATTTCCAGGAGCATCCACCACACACTGTGTTCAGTGGGCAAATTTTTCTCCTAAGATGGCAAAGGAAAATTAAAATTTGCCACAATAAAAATAAATCATGAAATACTATTACCATACAAAATTTAATTTGAAACAAGCTGTTTAATTTTATTGTAACCAAAATTTAATTTTTCATTCCTTTCACAACAAGCAGCTAAAAAGTTAATTCAATTCATCTCTGCATCTAAATTTAAATCAACAATTCAGTATATATAGTTTGACTTGATAATCACTTTTGTATAGATTCACAAAACTAAGTTGATCAAAACATTAAAAAATAAATTTCAAATTCCCAGGATATTTTAAGAATAACTTTTAATTGTACATACATTATTTACTTTGAAAAAAATTGTATGGGTAATCCCATATGTGCCATCTTTAAGAGGTCCATTTGCCACATGTTTTGCTTAGCGACAATGTTGCCCACCTTGCCACTAAGTCATGCAGTTTAAATTAATGCATTAACACACATTTACACTGGTGATAATCACATCTAGTAAAATATATATGTGAGAAGCATTTTAATAATTTAATGTTTTGAATCCTTTGAAGGTAATCTGGTATTAATATTATGCTCATCATTTGAGTTAAATTCAAATTAGCATGCAAATACATTTCTGACTTATTTTTATTTTTTAAAAACCATGTTGATGTAAAATGGGAAAGGAAAAAAAAATGAATTCCACACTTCTAGATGATACAACTTGTCAAAATAATTTTACTTGCCCTAGAAGACTTGGGAAAAAAAATTCTGTCACATGTGGAAGTGGTGCTATTAGAATTCTGTAAATATACCGTAACTGAGAATTTCATTTTTTTTGCCCAATTCTCTCCAACGAACATAAACACTGAATTTAAAAAAGGAAATCCTAAGAAATGTACCAAGATTTTATACATAGCATACCATATAGACATTCAATCAGATTGATAAGCTTTTCTAAAAAAATTATAGCTAATGCCTTTAAAAAAAAAAAAAATTTTAAAAAAGAGAAGAAAGAATAGTTTCATTGGTATAACTTTTTACAAATAAAAAGATTCGTAGTTGAAAGAAATTCATGTAAAATAAAAAATTCGTTAAAAGCAATTTCATAAATGCCAAGTGATACAGTTTACCTATACTTTCAACAGGTTGTTTTTTTTAAATAAAATTCACATTTGTATAGTTATATATGATTTTTTTTACAGTTCACTAAATTTAGAAGAAAAATTTTCATGAACTTGAAAAATTGTTGGCACCAATGGCACATTTGTATGTTCCTAATTCTTACTAGAATTCAGTGTTGTTCAAAATGAAGCTCAATCCTATTTGTGTATTTAAATAAGTACCCTTAGGCTTAGGGATTGGCTGACTATATATATAAAGTATAGTTAATATAGAATCATGTTGTGATTCAACATTGACCAATATATACATATTTACCTATTGGGAAATTCATTCATGAATAGACAGCATAGCCTAATAGTAATAATTTAGACAACATTTTAGTTAGTAGTAATCCATTATTATAAATATCTTTGTGTAATTCTCATCATAACTATAGTGTCTAGTCTTCTTTTAATTTCTATTAATTATATATTTTTAGTACAAAATATCACTAACAAAAGCTTAAATGGTTAGGTTTTAAAAGCATGATTTAATTTGACATTTTATCATTTTTTGTGAACGTGATCTTTGTGTTGCATAATTTATTTTGAGCAGACATCAGCGAGAATTGTATATAAAGATCTTTTTAATATTTCACTGGCTGGAAACCTTCAATTAAAATTAAATGATGTGCTTGTGCTTGACTTTTCAAAAGCGTTTGACCGTGTCAACCATAGCTTGCTATTGCACAAACTGCATAGATATGGGATCCAAGGCACTACCAAAACATGGATCTCTAGCTTCCTCAGCGACCGATGCCAGGCAGTAGTGGTAGATGGCAAAACCTCCTCCTTTGTCAGTGTTAAGTCAGGGGTCCCCCAGGGCTCAGTGCTAGGCCCTTGTTTGTTCCTAGCATATATCAACGATCTGCCCGAGAAGCTGACCTCTCAAGCAAGACTGTTCGCAGACGACACGGCGGTATATAGGACAATGGTCAACAGCTCTGACCAGAGCCAGCTTCAACAAGACCTCAATCGGTTAGCTGAGTGGGAGATAAGCTGGGACATGGAATTTCATCCCGTCAAGTGCCAAACCCTGTCAGTCTCCAGAAGCAGGTTCCCTCTAAACCACTCTTACGAACTGCATGGCCATATTCTTGAGCCAGTTTCCTCCGTTAAGTACTTGGGTGTTACCATCCAAAGAGAGGTCCGCTGGGACGAGCACATTAACAGTGTGTGCAACCGGGCAAACAAGACCCTGGGGTTCCTAAGGCGCAATCTGAAGATCGGCAACTCAAGCGTGAAAGAAAAAGCCTATAAAGCCTTTGTCCGACCTATTTTAGAGTACGCTTCTACAGTCTGGGACCCATTTACCCAGAAAAGCATAGACAGGTTGGAGGCGGTCCAGCGACGGGCAGCACGCTTTGTCATGAACCGCTACAGAAGCACCTCGAGTGTTGGCAGCATGCTGGAAACACTGGGCTGGTCGACATTGGAAGAACGACGACGACTATCCAGGCTCACCATGTTGTACAAGATAACAAATGGACTGGTGCACTGCTCCGGAATCAAACAGAAACTCGTTAATCTTCCCCCCAGACTGCGACGAAGTCACGACAAACAGTTCCGGCTGGTAAAAACAAGAACGAAGTACAGAAGCTCCTCATTCCTGCCGAAGACAATAGGGGACTGGAACAAGCTTCCAAAAGCTACACTCGATACATTTGTGTCTATTGCCTCCTGTATTCCAACCCCCAGTTCATAACACCACTGCTGAGTCGCCCTTGCAACCAGTGAAGTATCCCATTGAAACCCATGGACAGTAACATCGCAAACCTCTCTGAAACATAGGAGCCAGAATGATCAATTCATTGATCGTGGGCCCTTAAAATAAAGAAGAAGAAGAAGAAGAAATGGGAGAGCCCAATTTGAATTAAAAAAAGGAAAAAAAGAAAGAGGAAATTTGAAACAAATTGGGGCAAGTACCTTAGAGAGTGGATGACCAAAGACCCTGGTTTTCAAGGCATCACTAACAAAAGCAAAAATTTTGTTGGAAAAAGAGACAGTTAAGTATCTAGTTGCTTCATGCTCTTACGATATATAATCACATTGAATAACAAATTTTACAAACCTTTGATGAAAATTTCAAAACATTTTTAAAAATATAAAAATACTACAGATGTCTAGAGTCTTGAGAATGAATTAAAAAACACCAAGATCAACTTTCTAGCTCAAATGGTTCAAAAGTTATTAATTTTTTAGTAATGACCATAAAACCAATTTTTCACTATGGGTTTTTTTCGTGACCCTTATTTTACTTTAGTTTTTACGCCTATAAATCACATATATATATATATAAAAGTGAAAATTTGTGGGTTTGTTTGTTTGTTCCATAAAAGCTTTTAAATGGATTGATGGATCTTGACCAAAAGTGGCACATACATCCATCATTATCGAGAAGGAACTCTTAAGGGGTTATGAACTTTTTGTAACATTCTGTTTGGGGCCGGGGGGCCCAAAATGTCATTATTTCCCTATATGACCTATACAAATAAAATTACTAAAAAATACTACTACATGAATTGATGGATCTTGAACAAACTTAGAACAGATACACTTTATTATCCATATTCAAATACTGAAGGATACTGAACTCATAGTATCCTTCCCTCTGGGGCCTGGAGCCCCATTTCATTTTTCCTTATATAACCTTTATAAATATCAATAGGCTTAGACAACACTAAAGGTTCTATGTGAATGATGGATATAGGCCTATATTCAACTAATATATTTATCTAAAAAATTATTCTTTCATAAAACTAATAAAGCTGTCACTAATCCCAGATTAAACTGTAATAAATAAAAGCAATTAATGTTTTAAAGGTCAATTTTAAATTCTAAAATGTTATTTAGAATTCTTGATACATCACTTCCACATGAACTGCCATAGTTTGTATATTTACATACCAAACTTACAACATAGCTTTTGAGGCGAATAAAATCAACTGCAAGCTGTACAGAGTTACCACTGTTTCTGTTTAAAACTTGAATTTTGTCCAGTAGGTCAGTGAAGAATTTGTAGCCACCCTTAAGAATGCAAAGTCCCACAATTGGCTCATTACCAAAATCAGTTACAATGTCTCGTGCTAAACGTTCAACTCTGTGAATTAATTATAAAAAAATTATAATATATGCATTTCTAAAAATATAAAAGATAAAATATTTAGTTAATGGTTTAAAATCACTTTTTATGGTACCAGAAAATGTATTAACAGGTGAGAGAATATCAACATATATTTAATTAATGTTTGATGAACAACAAACCTATCATTGATAAGTCCGGCTGGAATGAGCACATGATCCAAGTCCTGTTCATAATGTTTTGGAATACAAAAGTGGTCTAATGAAAATCCCAGATCTCCATCAGCAATCTGAAGAAAAATAGTGCCATGATACAAACAGGAAGATTTTTAATCAAATACCCCTGCAAACAGGTAAGTAAAGTTTATCCCCCAAACACTTTAAACTAATTTAAAGTTACAACAAGGTCCTAAAAACAAAGAAACTAATAAATTTGAAATAAAGAGAGTAAATCTGAACTATCACTTACTTAGTAAGCCTAACATATATTAAATATTTGGAAAATGTATCGTTAATAATTTTTAGAGATATGGAATCGAAATATCTTTAAGAAGTTGGGTTCAGTAACAACTAATGCTTTGCTTAGGCAACCCCTGCAGTTTGGCAAATTTAAATTAATTTGGTTTTAATTTGAATAAAATGAATATATGTTTCATATATTAAAAACATAGGCAGTGTCCCATCAATAGAAGCGATCACAAGGTAAGTGTGATCATGACCTGCACAAAAACACATGGTGAATATGGAAAACAAGCTGATCCAGACTTATGGAACCTTGACACAACATGGCATGAGTGTCATGGTCTCATTTATCTGCTAAACATTTGCTCCACCCCTCTTCATCATAACCAATCACAGTGGACTTACTTCTCTTTTTTTTCCTTTTTGCCTGTATTTAATCTCTCACCTACTTAATTTCTATCACAATCCTCTTGCTGCCTATTCGGATACTACATTACAGCTAATTTTTTATTTAATTCTGTTTTACTGCTTCTTGCCAATAAGTTTGTTGCTTTTTTTGGGTTGCTCTTTTTTTTATTTAATTCTGTTTTACTGCTTCTTGCCAATAAGTTTGTTGCTTTTTTTGCGTTGCTCTTTTCAGGTTTTCCGATACTTTTGTTTTCACTCATTTCCTTTTTTGCTAACCTGATTGCTGTCTCCCCCCTTATTACCACAAACAAAATTACCATTCTTCACCTTATCCCTTTCAGTTGACAACATCCCAAGACAAGCAAAAAGTTAACGCAAGAGATTTATAGGAGATGTAACAAATATGGGGACTTAAGAATGAATAGACAAAATAATGTAAAAATAAACAGTTGAATATGCAGGCATAGATAATTATTAATGGACTTTGAAACTTACTATACATTTTTTTACTTTATTTTTGAAGTTTTAGATTTATGCCAACCTATGGAAGGTGATGTAGCCAGGCATAGCCTAATGGTAAATAAACCACAGCAAATACATATTACTTTTTTCCTTGAGTATACTATGATGCAGTGTTTAATATAGGCCTTGGGCACAACCAAAAATGGAGACCATAGTTAGCTTGGCATTTTCAATAGGTTTAGATTGTTCATTAGGTGAGCCGGAGCTGGAGAACTTGAGCCTAGGGCAAACATTTGAATGTATACAACAATTATCAATATATAAGAGCCCTTCAAAATTTGCTGTTAGTTTAAAACCACAATATTTTAAGGGAATAGACATACAAGTTGAATTTTTATCTAAAGTGAGTGTCACTAAATTATGACAAACTTCGACCATAACAAAACTAAGCTACGCCTATCATCTTACCTTACTATGTTTTCTTCTTATATCTTTGGTTGCTTTAGGTTCATTAGGATTTAATTTTTAAAAATACGGGGTACTATAAGTTATAAGTGATTCTGTATAATCCGGTTAAGAATTACTTGGTGCAGTCCGGAGGAAAAAGGGGGAGTGGGTGTGTGGCACCGAGAATTTACCACACCAACCTTAGCCTCTGATACTGATAGGCACTATTTAATTCTTACTATTCTTAATTTGCCAATGTTAGAGTAGGCTAGTTCAGTCAATTTAATCACTATTTGGAATCAACAATGTAACTTGAATGTCAACATATCATGCCATGTCAATTAAAAAACAAATGTCATGTGTAACTAGTACTAAGTTCAAGGTTGTGAAGTTTACTCATAGTATAGTCATCGAAGTGGCTATAGGGACCTGGGTCCCAGAACTAAGAGGTTGGGATTAAAAAATTAATAAAAATACTATTGTTGGATTTGTAAGACAAAATTTGGTATCAAAAGAAAGATAATTGAATGGACTATATTTTTGTAAACTTACTTCTTCAGTTAACTAAAATAAACTACCACAAATGATATCCGAGTCTAAAGTCTAAAGGGAACCGGGTCCGAATAGCGGCTATGCGTGTCCGGGTCCCTTTAAACTAAAAGCTATTCGGATGTCATTTGTGGTAGTTTACTTTAGTTAAACTGAAGAAGTAAGTTTACAAAATATACTCCATTCAATTATCTTTCATTTGATACTTAATTTTGTCTTACAAAACCTACAATAATATTTTTAATAAACACAAACTCTCACTTCTGATACCCATAGTCACAGCCTATAGTGATACTCATGGTATATATAGTAGTATGGTCATAGTAACTCTTAGTAAGTGAAAGTGAGTGATGATGAATTAGCTCTGAGCTGAGAACATGATGAAGAAAACTTAATAAAAGAGACATTACAATTACATGAATGAGTGAGAGTGAGTGAGGTGTGAGCATCCATAGCAGTGTAGTCATACAAATCACTACTATCTCTATCTTAGTATATAATATCAGATTTAAAATTGTCCTTTAAATTAATTGTCAATGAATATGTTTGACTCATTTAGTCATTGAATCATTGATTGAGCTATTCCCTGTAGCCTGTACTGTCCTAGTCCTTGGCACAGTAGACTGTAACTGTAGTAGTACATTTATTGTTAATAAGAGTAAGAATAGGTTACAAAAATATTAATAACTGAATATGCAGAAGTAAATCAAAAGGCAAATTTAGATCCCACATTTTAATAAATATAACAATTTTTAAAATGAATAAATTTACCCGAATAAAAGACTTGGATCCCATTTTATAGTTTCAGTCTTTTAACAGTGTAATCGATTGATTTGTTCACGTTTTCGGTTTTCGATATTGCCGGTTCCGCTAAGTAACAATGCAGACCCTCAGCTCCGAATAGTATGAATAATGTTTAACGAACCAATTCATTTATTATTAATTTTTTTTTTTTTATTATTATTTTTTTTTTTTTTACGTTGTACCGCGCTTCGAGCCTTTGGGGAAGAAGCGTATTTTTGAAATAAAATTTATTATTATTATTATTATTATTTTTAATTAAGGCATTATTATACCTTTACGATTTGGCCATATAATTTAACATTCATATTATAAACAACTAATGTGATATGTTATTTTAAAATAATATTAGACAAAATTTAAACAACAATAATAAACGATACCCATCAGTGTTTCTTTCACTTTCAGATCATTTCCCGGGCGGGGGGGGGGGGGTCATTTTAGATTTTCGGGTGGATATTTGAGCAGGGGGGGGACATATGACTATCGGGGCTGCCAAAAAGGGCTTTATTGGCATTTAATAATGGAAAATAATGCGTTTCAGATTTGAAGTGGTGTAAAAATGAATCAAGCCCCCCCCCCCTCTCCACCCCCGCGGTGTCAAACACTCTAGCTACGCCTCTGCCTGTCACATAGAAAGGGGGAAGAATTGGCTGGTCCTCCCAGGATGTCACTTTTTCTTTATATGGATAGGAAGCATTTCGGACAACTGCAGAGTTTGTATCGTGAAAAGGAGCGTGGAAATAATATATTTTTATATAAGCAATTTACAAAAAACAATTAGTACAAGCAACAAAAACAAATATATAGAAAAGGCCATTTCATGAAAATTTTTGATTAATTTTTTTTTTTTTTTTTTTTAATCTTATAATTAAAAAAAGAATAAGAATTGATGTAACTTGCCCTTTTCGTTT